GTGAATAATCATAGCCCAGATGGAGTAAGGGGAGAGTAATGGAACCTAGCAGAGAGATCATTGGAAGGATCTACAACATACACAAAGAGAAAGTAATAAGAAGCTGGTGGATATCAAACTGTGAGAGGATTTGTAATCCATAGAAGGGTAAATAAGAAATAATAAGGATTATAAAAGATTACTATAAACAATTGTACACCAATAAATTAGATGACCTAAATAAAGAGAGGCTTTAGTGGTAATGTCCCTGCTCTCGTTTTTGAGTTTAGTTATTGGTGTCTTCTCTTTTTCTTTTTATTTGGTCTGTCTTGCTAGACATTTGTCAATTTTGTTGATCTTTTCAGAGAACCAATATTTGGTGTCATTGTTTGTTGTATTGCCAGAATCTATTGGACTTAATTATCTTTTTTCATTTATCTCTGCTTCCATTTATTGTCTTTGAGTTTAGTTTGATATTCTTTTGCTAGTTCCTAGGTTGTAATGTTGATTCAAGCACTTGTTTCTTTTTAAATGTAGATGTCTACTGCTGTAAATTTTCTTCCAAGAACTTCTTTTGTTGTGTATCATTATTTTGATAATTTAGTGTTTATTTTCATTTATCTCTCAATATTTTCTAATTTCCCTAATAATTTTTTTTCTTTAACACACTGGTTGTTAAACACCATGTTGTTTGATATTTAATTTTCTTCCTGTTACTGATTTCTAAGTCCATTATGTTGTGGCTTGAGAAGATATTTTGTATGATTTTGGTCTTAAAAATTATTCAAAAGTGTTTATTCTCTACCTGGAGAAAGTTGCACTTGAGAAGTTGTATATACTACTGTTGTTGAATAAAATATTCTCTATATGTTTGTCAGGTATAGTAATATCTAGTGTTGTTCAAGTCTTCTGTTTCCCATTAATCTTTTGTCTAGATGTTTTATTAGTGAAAATTTGGTACTGAAATTTCTCACTATTTTTGTGTGAAATCTATTTGTCCCTTCAATGCTGCCAAATTTTGTGTCACATATTTTGGACGTGTATTGATTGGTGCACACACATTAATAATTTTATATCTTTGTGATGAATTCATCCTTGATTCCAACAGAAAATACCTTTATTTGCTTATCTTAAGAATTTTAGCATAAAATCTTTTTGTGGTATTAATATAGCCATTCCATCTTGCTTCAGCCAAAATTTGCATGGAAAATAGTTTTCTATTTTTTGCTTTCAGGATTATTGTTTCTTTTGGTATAAGGTGAGCCTCTTATAGACAGCATATAACTTTCTATTAAAGAGCCCATTCCTTCCAGACCTGTATTTTAAATGGCAAATTCAGTCATGCTATGTGCCCTTAGTATTTCCATTTACAATGAAAGTGATAAGCTACATCAAAGGACTTATTTCTGCTATAATGCTATTTTAAATTTGTTTTGTATCTTTATTTTTCCCTCAATTTCCACAATATTGCCCTATTTTTGTCTGATCATTTTTTATCTACTGAAACTTTTGATTCCTTCTTGACTTCTTTCCTGATATATTTTGTTTCTTTTGTAGTAGTTTCCCTGAAAATTTCTGTTATATCATTCCTTGTACATCATTTTCTTCAGCTCTCTGAGGAAATGTTAGATATTTAAAGGTTTTTTTAGTAAGTCCAATGTCTGGGCTTCCTCTGGGATGGTTTCTGTCAAATTCCTTTTTTAGTTGCTAATGCACTATATTACTTGATTCTTTATATGCTACGTAATTTTTGTTGAGAAGTAGACATTTCACATATTGTAAGGCATTAAACCTGAAAATAAGATGTTTTCATTGTCTAGCCATTGCTGATGTTGCTTGATGAATGCTTCAGTCATCAATTTGTTTAGTGACTTTTCCAAAATATTATTGCAAAGACTGTATTTTTTGTCTTATGTGATCACTTAAGTCATTGTACTGTTATTTCTACAGTCAGGTAATGATCTGACAAAGGTTTTCTTAAGTCCCTGGATTAAGCATCAAAAGGACAAAAAATAAAAGAGAAAAGTTTTTTCTCTTTAATTCATCACATGTAATGTCACTGGGGAAGTCGCTTGAGCCCATGGGGATTGAAACATTGGCCAGCCTCTGTACTATTTCATCAACAATCAAACGATACAACCCCGATTTTTGAAGGAAAATGTTTCTGTTGTCCAGTTTGGAACCAAGAAACTGCACCGGCCACACAGTACACTGTTCCCCAAATTACCATGTAACAGCTATAAGGGATGTTAGCCTCTATGAAAGATGCCAAATTTACTGAAACTTACCAGTTGCTTTCTTTATCCCTTACTTCCCTGGGTGCTACAATTGTTTGACTAGGCTTTAGAGTCCCAAAATAATTTCTTCAGACAGATTATGCAGGGTCAATGGTTGCTTTAGTGCAGCCATTGATTCCTGAACTTCCCAGTAATTGTGACATTACCCCAGTAATGCCACCATAAGAATATTAGCATTTCAATCTATGAAATAAATATCCTTCCATGTATTTAGATTTTCTTAATTTCTTCAAACATTGTTTTGTATAGTCTAGCTTAATTATTATAGGCTATGTGCATATTACCTGAAAATCTCCAAATTCACTTCAACAGAATTGACATATTAATATTAGTTTATGAGCATAATGCTTTTCTTACTAACAGTAATTTTTTTGAGACACAATCTGGCTCTGTTGCCAGGCTGGAGTGCAGTGGTATGATCTTGGTTCCCTGCAGCTTCTGCCTCTTGGGTTCAAGTGATTACCCTTCCTCAGCCTCCTGAGTAGCTGGGATTACAGGTGCCTGCCACCATGCCTGGGTATTTAAAAAAAAATGTAGAAATGGGGTTTCACCATATTGGCCAGGCTGATCTTGAACTCCTGACCTTGAGTGATCCACCTGCCTCAGCCTCCTAAAATGCTGTGATTACAGGCGTGAGCCACTGTGCCTGGCTGTGACTTAAAAGTAACTTTACCTTCATGAGTTTAGAAAACCATGAAGCTGTTGGTACCAAGGGAGATGACTATCTTTGTCTAGCAAGTATAGGTTTTGAGAGTATTTGTTTTATCTTAATGGTGTTTATTACATAATATTAGACATGTCACATGTCACCTGTAGATTATAAAAATATTATCAAAGTAAGGCTGGCCTAGGGATTGGTTAGAAAGTAATATATTGGTATATTTATGATTCCCTGTACTCAATATTAAAGACTGCCTCTTTATTGTCAATTCTGTGTCATATCATCTCAGTCCTAAAAGAAACTACTTATCTTTGCCAATTACTTTCTCTATCTTGACTTTCAACTAATGAGCACTTCATTCAGTTAGTCCCTTAGCCTTGGCATCTATCTGCATTATCCCTACTGTTTTCTTCTTTACCCTTTATGGGCAGGTGGTGCCTCAAATCTCTTCACTTTTTATATTCCTATTCGTTTCTGAACTTGTTCCCTAGAAAAAGTTGCAGGTTGCCTTCTATCTGGATTATAATTTTGCTGTCCTAATCTTGTCTTTGTGAATTGTGTCCCTTTCACTATATTTCATTCTAGGTTTTGTCATCACATTAGTGTTTACACACAATTTTAGCTTCATAATGAGTCTCTAGGCAATATTGAGCCTATGTAAATTTTTGACAGAAGAAGACAATTGCAAACTCATGATTCAGGCTTGTAACACCTTCCATGATATGGACCTAAATTACCTATTTCTATTAACTAAAATTATATTCATTTACTAATAAGAAAAAATAGTAAATAATGGCTTAACTAAACAGTGGATTTCTTTATCTCAAATACAAATAGTTTTATGGTGGGTCAAACTAGAAATAATAAGGTATTCCTGAAGCATCATAGAGCCAAGTGTTTTAGATTATTTTCACCATATTTAGTATTGAAGCTGTATTAACCCATTCTTGCATTGCTATAAAGAAATATCCGATACTGGATCATTTATAAAGAGAAGAGTTTTAACAGACTTATGGTTTCATAGATTGTACAGGAAGCATGGCAGCATCTGCTTGGCTTCTGGGGAGGCCTCAGGAAGCTTACAATTATGGCAGAAGGTGAAGGGGAAGCAGACATGTCTTACATAGCTGGAACAGAGAGAAAAAGGGGAGGTGCCACACAGTTTTAAACAACCAGATCTTATGTCAAATCACTCACTATTGTGACATAGTGCCAAGCAAGAAATCTGCCTCCATGATCCAATCACTTCCCACCAGGTCCTACCTTCAACACTGGGGATTACAATTCAACATGACATTTGGGTAGGAACGCAGATCCAAATCATATAAGAAGCCTTCATTTTTATGATTTAAGTAGTCATGTCCCAAGATGATGTTTATCCTAACACCTCCTTCACATCTGTCTCTTGAGTAAGAAGGAGTAAATAGAATACTCATACTATGGTTTGAAAGTATCCCCTCAAGTTCATGTGTAAAAACTGAATGCCAGTTTATTAGGTGGAGCCTAATAAAATTGTTTGGCCTTCTCTGGCTCACTCACTTACCCTTCCGTGCCTTTCTACCTTTTGCCATGTAATGACACAGCATGAAGGCCATTGCCAGAGGCCAGTGCAATGCTCCTGACCTTCCCAGGCTTCAGAACCATAAGAAACAAATTTATTTTCTTTATAAAGTTCCTAGTCTGTAATATTCTGTTATATAACACAAATTGTACAAAGACAGTGCACCAAAATGCTTCTGCATATATATATTTGGAAAAATAATATGATGTGTGGCTAACCTAAGCAGCAAAGAGTTTCATGAATGGAATTCATGGGCAAGCTGGGAAAACAGGGCAGGAAATGAAGTTTGGGTCAACTGATACACTGTTTCTGCCATACCATATACCATACCATACCATACCATACCATACCATACCATACATACCATACCATTGTTTTGTCTAATACTGTACTCTCCAGTCTCTTTTTTTGTCTAATTTTATGACATGAGTTTCAGAAAATCCAGTGTAATTAAATATGCTGGCACATAATTTGTCAGATAATTGCATGAAATTATTTCTAGGAAAAGGACAACCAACAGTCTGAATTCACTGTTGAAAACTTGGTTAGCACTGTATTTGACCTGTTTGTTGCTGGAACACACACAACAAGCACCACTCTGAGATATGGACTCCTGCTCCTGCTGAAGCACCCAGAGGTCACAGGTAGGACCACAGATGATGAACAAAGTGAGTTTCAGAACAATGCTGAGAAGATGGTGCCAGTGTCCTCCACCCTGTTTCTCTTAAAGAAGCTTCATTTTTTAAACTTCTCTGTCACTAGCTGTAATCAGTCTAAATTTAATGACATGATTAAGAAAGACATCTTTGCACAATGGAGGAGGAGACTGAGAGCAGTAAAATAGTGTGGCAGTAGCAAAAGCAATAGAGCTCTGGTGGTGTCAGGATTTCAGTGGAGGTAATTAGTGGTAAGCAGAGCCAGCATAAATTGTCCTGAGACTGAACGTTGGTTTTATTACAGAAGTCCACTTTGAACAGTAGGTACATTATTGAAGATATCCTTTTCTCATTCTTTTTTTTTTTTTAATTCCATGCTCTAATGCTAGGGTAGGAAAATGAAAACTCTCTTTCCTGAAGCAAAAGTGGAAATCCTATCATTTTAGTGAGACTTCCTGAGGTAAATTTCAGTCTAGGAAGTAATCTAAAAAGTTAGACTAATAAAAAAGGTGTTTTGGGCCGGGTGCAGTGGCTCACACTTGTAATCCCAGCACTTTGGGAGGCTGAGGTGAGCGGATCGCTTGAGGTTGGGAGTTTGAGACCAGAAACCCTGTCTCTACTAAAAATACAAAATTAGCTGGGCATGGTGGCGCATGTCTGTAATCCCAGCTATTCGGGACACTGAGATAGGGGAATCACTTGAACCCGGGAGGCGGAGGTTGCGGTGAGCCAAGATTGTGCCATTGCACTCCAACCTGGGCAACAAGAGCGAAACTCCATCTCAAAAAATAAAATAAAATAAAATAAAAAATAAAAAAAATAAAAAAAAGGAAAGGTGTTTTCATTTAGGCAGAGGATGCACTTAAGGAATTTTATTATTCCAGAAGTATGTTTCATAAAACTGGTGTTTGCCAAAATAGGAATTTTTTGAAGGAGGGTTAATAATTTTATCTTTTGCAAGCAACTTTTATTTAGAATTTACCTCTAGAGTAAATTCCACCTTTCTTTAGAATTTATATTTAAAGAGTTTCGGTTTTGCAGCAGATAACATACTTTTTGTCCCTGTGTCAGGATGTCACTGAAATTTCAATAACCTAATTAGAAATCAGAATTAGCCTTTTAATAAAAAGTGAGAAGAACAGGCAACAGCCAACTAGTCTTTGACAAATTTCTGAAACACAGCGAGCAGTTAGAGGGGTGATAATGAACTCAGCACAGAGGATGAAGTTGTAACTTAACCTCAATATCAGAAGTTAACTGATAAATGTTAGAAGAGGACAATTTATCACAAGGAAACACTAATCTGTATCACTACAATACCATAGGGTTCAGTATAAGAGGTATCGAGGGTCAGAAAATGTAGGGAATGAGGTTGAAAAAGGAGGCTCTCTCACCCAGGTTTCCTCCACAGCTCCTTTTTTCAGGTAACTGATGTTCCCCCACAGGAAAAGGGAGGCTCATTCTCTAGAGTAACTGAGCCTAATAGGCTCTGTACTCAGGGACGCTAGGCAGCGACAGGAAAGTGTGAGGTGTAGGGCTCAAAAGAAAGGTACAGAAAGGGTTTCCTCCTTGAATTCAGGGACTCAAATTGTTCACCCTCTTCCTTCTTGAAATTTATCAGCCAGATGTATTCTTCAGAGAGGAAACAACTCTCCAAATACAAAGGTCTAGGAAAGACCTCTGTATTTTGGTATCTGAATATCACCTCATCCACAAATGTTCACTAGAGGGAATGAAACAAAAACATCCACTCCAAGACAGAGGGTCATGGAATTTCAGAACACCAGGATTAAAGGGAAAATCAAAACCTTTCAGAGAGATATATCAGGTCATATATAAATGATTAACATTCAGACAGTATCAGAATTCTCAAGCATAAATATTACCTTGTATATTAATAGAAAAAGGCTATTTTGAGACTTGAATGTTTGCCACAAACTTTACCCTTTCTTTAATAATAGAGATTGTGTTCCATCCAAATGTCAGAAACCATGTCAGAAGTCATGATCTCCAGGAATTAGGAAATCTCATGTAGGAGAATGAGAGTGTCAGGGAGGCTGCTGGGCACCAGGCCTAGAAAACAAGCACTTCAGAATGGACCAGGTGGATAACACAGGTGTGGGAGGAGACATCAAGGACCAAAGAGAGGAGAGCAATAGTCTGAGATTTCTCTATGATTTGTAAATTATTACTAGGAGGTTGAAACATCTGCCTGAGCATTTGGAAACAATTCTAACTTGAAAATGGAAAACTATGATTTATGTAAAAAGACACTGTTAAATCCAAGAAAGTACCAAGTACAAAATGTAATCATATTATCATTGTCTTACCAAGAAAGAGTAAATATGTAGTAGAAATATGTAAAGAATGAATATTGATATAACCAGAAATTATGGCCTAAGGTATTCTGGTAAATAGAGGGAGGAGAATTGTGTGTGTGTTTATGTGTATATGTGTGTGTGTGTATATATCAGTTTGTGGAGGATGTGTGTCTATATATGGGGTGAAGACAGAGATGAAAATTATTATCTCTCATACCAGTAAACCATTAAATATTGTCTAAAAATTGTTAAGGAAAACAATAGAAACAGAGAGTCATTATTTAGAAATATAAATATAAATTTCAGAAGAAAGTGCTAGCATGCTCAGAGTGGCCACATTTGGGAAGTGTAAGAATGAAGAGAGTACCACAGCTAATTGCACACCTCCTTCCTACACAAACACACAAAAACACATACATATATATATATAAATTCATTCAAAATTACAGTTTTGAATTCTTCAAAATTCAAACTGAATTGTTTGAATTTCAAATTCAATTTGAATTGTTCAAAATTAAACCGTTCAAAATTAGTTTAATTTTGAACCCCATATATTATGTTGGTATACATGTAATACTGAATTTCTGTTTTTCTTTTTGTGAGCACTGTAATTTCTTGACTTATGTTGTTTATTTTTGAAATAACTTATTATGTTTTTATGAATTGTCATGTATACTAATTTATAGGAGCATGCTTATGCATTGTGATGCTTACTTTGTAGGAGACTGGTGTGTATCCATACTCTGGCAATTCTCTATATGGTTCTGGGCATGTAATCATGTTTGTAATGCTGTTGGGACCCCTACCTGATGGTTTATGAGCCATTCACTGCTATGACAAATGTGCCACATATCTTCTTTTTTCATCAGCTCTTACTTGTGTCTTATCAGCTAAAGTCCAGGAAGAGATTGACCGTGTAATTGGCAGACACAGGAGCCCCTGCATGCAGGACAGAAGCCACATGCCTTACATGGATGCTGTATTGCATGAGATCCAGAGATACATTGACCTTATCCCCAATGGCTTGCTTCATACAGTGACCTCTGACATTAAATTCAGAAACTACCTCATCCCTAAGGTAAGCTTGTTTCTCCTACATCGTACTTCTGTGCTTTTGAAATTCTCAAATTCCCAGTGTGGTTCCAATCCTCTACCAACACAAGATGAGAGAAGTACAAAGCTTATACATGTGGTGGCTTGATGGACTTTCTGCTATTTCTTTTGGGACTATAAAGATTTATAAAATTGTGTAATATATATCTTTAATATTGTTTGGGCTACTCTGTGTTTATACTTTCAAATAATTGTTGAAAATATTGATGTCAATTTCCCAAACACTGTTTTGGGATTTTTATCAGGATTACATTAAATCTACAGTTCAATTTGGAAAGACCATCTTAATGTGTTGAAACTTTCAATTCATGAATATGATTATGCTCTCAATTTATTGGCTTTCTTCTATTTTCTCAGTAATGTTTTGTTTTCAGTGCACTGACTTGCAACTCTTCTGCTGAATTTTTCCTAGATAAATAATGTTTTGTTGTTTTTATAAATAAAGTGCCTTTTTCATTTCTTTGTACCCAGTATTTGGAAATATATTTTATCATTCTGATGACATTATACCTAGCACCTTTGCTAAATTTACTAATCATCACAAACTACTAATCATTTTTTGTCTGCAGATGCATTTGGAATTTCCATGTACCTTATTCTGCTACCTGGGTTAATATTTATTTTATTTATTTACTATTTTCCAATTCTTGTGTCCTTAATTTATCTTTATTGCATTATTGCACTGGCTAGGATATTCAGAATAGTGTTAAACAGAACAGAATAGTGTTGAACAGAATTGATGATAGAAGTCATCCTTGTTTCATTTCTGATCTGCAGGGAGGGGTGGAGGTTTAATGTTTCACTATTGAGAATGGTGCTTTCAGTAGATTTTGGTAGATATTCCTTATCAGATTAGGGAAGTTTTCCCTCTTGTCTTATTTGTATATACATTTTTGTGATGAACATGTGTACAATTTTATGAAATTGATTCCCTGAATGTGTTTGTATGATTTTATATATTGGCCTCACTATCTTCACTAAATATACATAAGTATACATGAGCAATTGGATTTAATCTTCTACATACTGTTCAGGACTTCTGTATTTTTATTTACAAGAGAGTTGGTCTCCAGTTCTTCTCCCTCAAAATTTTCTTTTCAGGGTTTTAAAATCAAGGTAATGTTGGGTGCATAAAACTTCTTGAAAATGATTCCGTAATGTGGGTCTGTTTTTGTTGTCTTCCCTTTCTTCCACTTTCTTTTTGTGATCACTCAGTTGTACCCTTGAAATACTTAAAACTTATGGCTAACTACCAGATATTATATATGAAGAAATGCAGAATTTCAGTGGATGTTTATCTTCTTCCAGAGTAGATTCATTCCTCTCCCATAGGCAGTCAGAATAACTTACCTCCTGTCCTGATTCAGAACTGATGTGAACACAGTTGAAAATTCACTGCAGATATTAGCTTAGCTCTCTGAGGGTCTACTATCACTGGAACCTTGGGACAAAATTTTGTCTTTTTAGCTCTGTAATGCCTTCTATCATATAGTTTCTGTATTGGTTTATAGTTACAATGCCATAAGCTTACTCTATTCCACTTATTATTATCATTAAATTAAAAATAATATAACTAAAAGTTGTCTTTTCATGGGAAAAACAATGATATTGGTAAGCTTGTCTGGAAAAGACAGAATTGGCAACTTACTAGGAAGTTTTGGCGCTTGCTCTAATCACCAATTTGTTATAACGGTTCGGACTTGAATTGTCTCTGTGTTCACTAAAGCACACAACCAAGAGAGACTTCCATTTCTCAATATTAGGATCTATCTATACCTCAATACTTCAGCATATATGTCCCAAGAACAAAAATTTTATTCTACATAATAATAACAGTATTCACAACCAGGAGTTATTAATATAATAACATTATATTAATTAATATACAGCCTGTATTTAAATTTATCAACTTTTCTAGACTATTTTATGGCTTTTTTTCTTTTGAAATTTGCTATCCAGGCAAGGAACAGCACATAATTCAGCTATCACATGTTTGTAATCTCTTGTAATCAAGAACAGTCCCTTTCCCTTCTTTGTTTCCTTTCAGTAGCTTGACTTTTTGAAGAGTCTCAGCCAGTAATCATTTAACCAGCAGCCTGTTCCTCAGATGGCTTTGTGTGACTGTTTCATAGAGCTAGATTCTGGTTGTGATTTTGGCAAGAAAATTACATAGTATCCCACTGAATGTTATTGGTCAGGTGGGGGCATATAATATTACATATGCCATTGTAGGTTATTCTAAGTCTCTCATTTAATAAGGTGGTGATTGCTAGAGCTCTTTATTGCAGAGGTTCTGCTTTTTTTGTAGGTCATTAATAAAAATCTGTGACAGTACTTTAAGACTGTGTGAAAACACTGCTTCCAAAATCTCACACCCAGTAGTTTTAGCTTTAATTGATGATCCTTGCCTGACCTGATGATTCTGACCTGAATTGTTAAAAAATAATGATTTTTAAAATTTCATTGTTCCTTCTGTGGATTTAAGTTAGAGTTAATCTGGAATGAATAGCTTCTGCATATTTTTGAATAAAGACAAACAAACTTCATGTTAATGATAAACCCTCAATGGTGTTTACTTCTTACTGTATTTATTGCTGTCATCCTAGAAGATATAATTTTAAAGTAGATTAAATATTTACTTACAGAAGTCCTATTAACAGATACTCTGGAAATTTCCAGCATCAACAGAGACTCCCATTTTAAGTCATACTCAACATATGAGATGTGTGAAAACTGAAATGATGAACTAGAGCAGGAAGTGAGGATACACACCTTTGCCCAAGCTTGATGATAGGGAGAACAAATTCAGAAGCTTGCACCCAAGTGCCCAAGTACTTAAATTTTCAGATATGATTGGGAAGCCCTTTAACAACATTCTGCCACTGGCCTTAAACCCATTTCTGTTTATTACTGTATCTGGGTCGACCTTAGTTTCCTCATCTAAAGGTAAATGCTATTGGACTATGTGATGTCCACTATTTCTTTTCAACTCTGGACTTCTTTATAACTCATATTATCTGTTCTGTTACTTCCAGGGCACAAACATAGTGCCATCACTGACTTCAGTGCTTTACGATGACAAAGAATTCCCCAACCCAGAGGTATTTGACCCTGGCCACTTTCTGGATGAGAGTGGCAACTTTAAGAAAAGTGAAAACTTCATGCCCTTCTCAGCAGGTAATGGAAATTCATTCCCATCTGTACTTTAGGGAACAAGGTAATTTGGGGGAATCTATTGGAACATATGTGGCATCTACTCTGGGGCTGGTAGAATTGCTCTTTGTCCATGATCAGGAGCATGACTTCCAATCCTTGTGTGCTCCACCCTCATAATACAACCTCATTATTGGGATAGATTAGTGGGGCTTTGGGGAGTTAACCCCTTTCTTCCCAGTTGAGAACACTGAAGTGTAGGTTGGTTGAATTCTGTCACTAGATACATCACCGAGGTACCCAAGAGCTCCACATAGGAGGTGAGACTCATTTAGACTTTCATCACCTGCCATGAGGAAGATATCTAAGTCTACAACTCCACTGACTATCTTCCACATGGTGTCCCTCACCCCATAGGCTGAACTCTGAGGATACAAGAAATAACCATAAGCACAGAATGGACTATAAAGAGTCTCACTGCCAAGTTAGGGAAGCAGATCATTGTACTTCAGTAGAACTAGGGCTATGAGAGAGGAAATCGCAAGCTTCTGGGTGATAGACAATAGAGGGAGAACCTGCGTGCTTTTTGCTCCTCATGCCTCACAGTGAGGCATAAAATGAGCTAAGCAACATTCTAATAACAGAAATGATGTCTGAGCTGCCTCAAAGGAGACAGAGAAAATGTAAGAGAAGGTATAGCATTTTCCTTTTCCTTTTTACTTTTTTTGTGTGACAGAGTCTCACTCTGTCACTCAGACTGGAGTGCAGTGGTGCAATCTCAGCTCATTGCAACCTCCACCTCCTGGGTTCAGGCAATTTTCATGCCTTAGCCTCCTAAATAGCTGGGACTGCAGGTGCATGCCACCATGCCTGGCTAATTTTTTTGTAGTTTTAGTAGAGACAGGGTTTCACCATGTTGGCCAGGCTGGCCTTGAACTCCTGGCCTCAAGTGTTCCACCTGCCTCTGCCTCCCAAAGTGCTGGAACTACAGGCATGAGCCGCAGAACCCAGCTGGCATTTTCAAGGAGGTAATAAATGACAGGGCAAGACATTTGCTCTAAATAAAGGATGTCAGAACCTTTGCCAAACAACCGTGGGGTTACAGAAACATTGGGAATGTAGTAGGATACTTTGCTGTGATTCCAGACCATCTTGCACTTCCTCCAGTCATGATCATGTATCTTGGATGCTGAATTTTCACACCTGCATTTTGTGTGGTCAGTCTCTGGCCATGGAATCTCCTTCTTTTATCCTGTGACCTTTGATGTCTGCTTTATATTTGTCACTGTAGATACCAAGTCGACAAGGTCAGAGACCTCTCTTCAAGAATTCACATTTTTGCACAATAGAAAAATAAATAAATAGGGAATAATGATTATATGTGATCCATGCTTCAATGAAAACATTAATATGACATTGTGGAAACCTAGACAGTGTAAGATATTATTACTTGAGGGGATTGTAAAGAGTGTAAAGAGGAAATGAAATTTGACCTGTGTTCTGAGTGCAGCATAACAAAGGTACACCTTGACCAGAAGGAACAATATGATGTAAAACTTGAACTTCATGGTGTGTTGCGGATTGATAAAGTACGTGTATGGCTAAAGCTGAGAGTAGAGGGTGTGAAGGGTTGGAGGAAAGATCATGGAATATCAGGCTTGGAACAGGAAACAAGTGTTTCTATAAAGACTGATGGAAACTCAAAATATCAAAACAGCTGTTATAATGTGGGAATGCCTAATGAAGTGCTTGTTATGGAGCTGACACTCAATGAATATTTGTTGAATGGAGGGTGCCTATTAAGATCAGAAGCTAGAAAGATAGCAAGTATGTTCATTCTTTATTCATTTGTCCATACAAACATCCATACATCCATCTGTTTCATGCATTCACCCACTCATCCATCCATCCATCCTTCCGTTCATCTATCTATCCACTCAATCATTTATCAGATATTTACTACATATTCTATTTGTGCAAGTCATAAACAGATTGTCACAGTCACAGTTACACACAAGGAGTAACTACAATCTCTGTTTATTATTTTCAGGAAAACGGATTTGTGTTGGAGAAGGACTTGCCCGCATGGAGCTATTTTTATTCCTGACTACCATTTTACAGAACTTTAACCTGAAATCTCTTACTGATTTAAAGGCCCTCAATGCCACTCCCACTGCCAAAGGACTTGTTTCTATGCTACCTTCATACCAGATCTGCTTCACTCCTGTCTGAAGAAGGTTAAGTCACCTGGCTACTGATCTTTTGTCACCTGCAAGTCTTTTTTTATTTTTTTTTAAATCAGGGAGAGTTCCAATATTAGGGATATCTTTTCTGACCTCTAATCACATTTTCCCATTCCCTGAAGATGCATTGAACATCCGATCTTCATTAAGGAGACTTGCTTGGGTCATTGCACAAATATATCTGTTATTATTAATATTCTGTATTACTTTTATTGACTGCTACACATACTAATAATTTGTGCTGAGTTTTTAATGTTTTCGTTATAAAACAGAGAAAAATGATTACCATATCATAATTCAGATTCATTTCTTCTGTGAATATTCTAAATGAAAAGTGTTACTAATTGCTAGCTTATTCTCAGCTTTTTCCTCTTTTGTCCATAATGCAAGAAAGAAATGAAACAGAGTGTCAGCCATGCTGTCCCTCATAATGATAAGCATAGAGAGGGACAAAGGGAAAGAGGGTGGGGAAGCTTTCTTGGCTGCGTGTTATCTAGAGTTTCTCAAGGTTTGGATTTGAGAAAGAAGGTCTCTCAAAGAGCAAAACTAACCTTTAGGGAAATATTAAAAGGATAAGTGATAGGTAGGAATGAACATTAAGTGTCAGAACTCATGCCCTTACTTAGGTGTTACTGTCCACACTAAATACAAATTTGAAATATCATTTTTACTTCATGTTTCCAACTTAGAATTAAGTATAAATATATGCTCTCAAATTGCTACTCATGTGTTCTGAATGTTATTCTTCTCTCCCCAAACAAGAACAAAATCTCCGCAAAGCCTCAGTAGATTATATTATTTTTCTAATTTATACCTCATTGTTTCACACTTATCATTAATGTGATGATAATTTGATTCTATGGCCCTGAAGTGATTAGCCTCATTTTATCTCCAAAATATACACAATTGAACATCTAACACACATCAAATTCTAGTCTTCCATTCCCATTCCTTCTATCTTCAAGTTTATGAAATGAGAATGGACATCAGTGATTACTCTTTGTGAGCTTATCTTCCAGAGGAAGTCACTTTGTCATGCATTTTAAGCTCTTATGTAAGTGTACTGATGTACATATATGTATATATGTATCTATACACATATGACTGCATAAATATATATTCACTCATTGTATATATTATATACACACAAATACATATGCTATTAAGTGTGGTTCTTTATAAAATTGGGCTCATACTACACATATTTTCTACAACTTGATGTTTTTCTAGTAAACAATATACCAGGAACCACCCCAATATAATAAAAACATGGAAAAATGATTCTAATGAACACATTGGAAAAGAAAATGGAAATGGTTATTAAACATGAAAATAGCTTAAAAACAAAAAAGTATATATTATATATCTTTTAAACATTCTTGAGTGGAAAATGAAAATATGTTCATGTAAGCATTGGTCAAGGTGTGGACAAACAGGCACTCTTGTACATTTATACAGAAGGCCAACTTCTCAATGAGGCATACATTGAGTACCTTACTGAAATTTGTAATCTTCCCTTCATCACCACCTTTCCCCATCAGTCAACTTTTGGTTCCCTTTACATTTCTTTTTGGAATTTTGCATGTTTTGTGTTAATCTTTCTTATAAACCTAGGAGGTATGTAAAATTTGTGTTAGTTTCCATGAGTACTATAACAAATTAGAACGAACTTAGTGGTAAAATAATGCAAATGACTTTCTTACAGTTCTGAAGTTTGAAGGTCCAATATCAGTTTCACTGGGCTAAGATCAAGGTGTTGAGTAAGGCTGTTTCCTTCTGAAGGTTCAGGGGGGAATTTATTTCCCCGCGTTTTTTTTTTTTTTTTTTTTTTTTTTTTTTTTTTTTTTTTGCTTCTAGAGGCTGCCAACATTCCTCATCTCATGAGTCCTTTGCTTGGGGTATCACATCTTCTACTATCCACTCTTATCCTCTTATTTCCCTCTTAGAAGGATCAATGTGATTACATTGGGCCCACTTGGATAATCTAGTGTAATTTGCCCATGTCATATCCTTAGCATAATACATTTGGAGTGTTTCTTTTACCATGAAAAGTAATACATTTATAGGTACACAGGTTGCTAGGATTAGGATATTTTGTGAGGAGATGAGGTTATTAATCAGCCTACCACACTACAGTTACACCCATTTTATCACCAAATAACTGAGATGATGTTTTGTTATGAGTCTTGCTCAAGGTCAAACAGATTTTAAGTGCAGAGACCAGAATGGAACCAATGCTATCTGACTGAAAAGTGGAGTTGCTAATCACTTTGCTATTAACTCTTTTTCCTCCCAATTTTGTGCTAAGATAAAATACACATAAATAAAATTCACTATCTTAAACATTTTTAAGTGTACAGTGTTTTTATGGTTTGGCTGTGTTTCCCCATCCAAATCTCATGTTGAATTGTAATCCCCACGTGTAGAGGGAAGGAGGTGATTGGATCATGGGGGCGGTTTCTGCCATGCAGTTACATAATCGGGAGTGAGTTCTCATGAGGTCTAATGGCTTTATAAGCGTCTGGCATTTCCCCTGTTTGCACTTCTCTCTCCTGCGACCATGTGAAGAAGGTCCTTGCTTCCCTTTCGCCTTCTGCCATGATTGTACGTTTCCTGCAGCCTCCTCAGCCATATGGAACTTAGCTAATTAAATCTTTTTTGTTTGTAAATTACCCAGTCTTTGGTATTTCTTTATAGCAGTGTGAAATTGGACTAATACAAGGGCAGTGGTATTAAATATATTCTAATTTCTAATGTTATTCAACCACCATGCTCATTCATCTCTGTAACTTTTTTTATCTTATAAAACTGAAACTTTATACCCATTGAATAATAACTCCCATTTCCCTGTCCCCCAGCTTCTAGCAATCATTTTACTTTCTATCTCTATGATTTTAACTATTCTAAGTTCCTCATGTAAGTGAAATCATACAGTATTTCTCTTTTGGTAACTGGTTTATTTCATTTATCATAATGTCCTCAAGATTCATCCATGTTGTGTGCTGTTAACTCTTATTGTGTTTATTCTTTATTGATTATTTTCTTTCAATACAATACATGTTTCATGTTCAGCTGGCACAGGATTGACGCCTAGTGGAACCCAACTGAGTGATCTGTGCAGTGTGGTGTTTTCCAACTGGCCAAGGTGTCTGCAGGGCCCACAGAATTTTCCAAGCAAGAAGATATTTGGGTACTTGGAGAAACTTCATCCTGCTGGAGGTCTGGATTAGTGGTAAACTCTTGTGATTCTAAAGCGTTCCATAGCAGAACCCACTGATGATGACAAACTGAACCTTGGTGTCCCTGGATTAGTGGGAGGTGGTGAAAGGATTCTGTGATAGTTCAGGTGTTCACAGCTCTCTTGCTTTTGGCAGAATTTCTCAGGTAGTCAAATAAGTATTTTTTTTTTAAAGAATTTAAAATTTTAAAGAGAATTACCATGTCACTTAGCAATTCTACTTCTGGATACATATCCGAAAGAAATGAAAGTAACTTATCATAGAGCTATATCTGCACCCATGTTCATAGCAGCACTATTCACAATATCCAAAAAGTAGAAACATCACAAGTGACCATTGAGGAAGTAATGTGGTGCAAATATACAATGGAAGATTATTCATCCTTAAAAGAAAGTAAATTTTGACACATGCTATACCATGAATGAAATTTAAAGATATTCATGCAAAGTGAAATAAGACAATCACAATCATACAAAATACTGTGTGACTGGCTTATCTAAGGTACCCAGAATACACAAGTTCATAGATACAGAAATTTTCTATGGGTTGTTATATGGGTGGTTGTTAGGAATAGGAGGAAATTGAGGACGGGTAGTTACTGTTTAATGATACAAAGTTCAGTTTTGCAAGATGAAAAGAGTTCTTCAGACAGTGATGTTGGTTACATAATAATTTGAATGTAATTACAGGTGCTAAAATATACACCCTAAATGATTAATATATTTAATTTTATGTTACATATATGTTACCACAGTTAATAAAATGTCATTCATGTCTGAAAAAAAGCACTACTTACATTATCCAGACATTAAAATAGAATCAGAATACTTAGTGTTTATTGAACAAAGCTACCCTGAAAATTATATTAAAATGAAGATGCAAAAGAGTGTAAAAGAAACCATTCATAGAGCATGTGCTGGTGAAAAGCTGTGCCCTCAAATACCTTACTCCTTGCAATTCCTTTTTATAGGCATCACCTCCAGAATCTACTTGATGTGGATGACTCTGACTTCGATGAACTGTTTTCCTGTGAGTAATTTCTCCAGTTTAGACAGAGCTATCCATGGGAAGGTGAGTCTGATCAAACTACTTGACCATGATCAGAACAATCTGCCTCCCCATTTCATCATCAAACTGTAATTTTAAAAGCCCTACTTTAATTTAAAAAGCCCCACTTTCTGTCCATCCCCATAGCTCCTCCCTCGCCCACCAAAATGAGTCACTAGGGGCAGTGGTGGGCAGATGATTTCAGATATCCTGATCTCAATTCCCTGATCTCAGTACGTCTGCAAATTCTTTTTTTTTTTTTCAACTTTTATTTTAAGTTCTGGGGTACATGTACAGGATATGCAGGTTTGTTACATAAGTAAACATGTGCCATAGTAGTTTGCTGCAAAGATCATCGCATCACCTAGGTATTAAGCCCAACATCCATTAGTTATTCCTCTTGAAGCTCTGCCTCCCCTGGCTCCCTGCTCTGGGAGGCCCCAGTGTGGGTTGTTTCCCTCTATGTGTCCATGTGTTCTCATCATCCAGCTAATACTTATAAGTGAGAACATGTGGTATTTTGTTTTCTGTTCCTGCATTAGTTTGCTAAGGATGATGCCTTCCAACTCCATCTGTGCCCCTGCAGAGGACATGATCTCATTCCTTTTTCTGGCTGCATAGTATTCCATGGTGTATATGCATCACATTTTCTTTATCCAGTTTACCATTGATGGGCATTTAGGTTGATTCCCTATCTTTGCTATTGTGAGTAGTGCTGCAATAAACATATACATGCATATATCTTTATAATAGAATGATATATATTCCTTTGATATATAATAGAATTATATATATATATATCTACTAATGGGATTGCTAGGTCAAATGATATTTCTGCCTCTAGGTCTTTGAAAAATCACAACACTGTCTTTCACAATGCAACCACTGTGAAACTAATTTACACTCCCACCAAGAGTGTAAAAGTTTTCGTTTTTCTCCACAACCTTGCCAGCATCTGTTGATTTTTGACTTTTTAATAATAGCCGTTCTGACTGGCATGACATGGTATGTCATGTATATCATTGTGGTTTTGATTTGCATTTCTCTAATAACACATTTATTATTAAGGAACTTTTCTTCACATATTTGTTGGCCGCATGTGTATCATATTTTAAGAAATGTCTGTTCATGTTCTTCACCACTTTTTAACAGTGTTGTTTGCGTTTTAAATTTGTTTAAGTTACATGTGGCTTCTGGATATAAGATCTTTGTCAAATAGATTGCAAAAATTGTCTCCCCTTCTGTAGGTTGTCTGTTCACTCTGATGATGGTTCCATTTGCTGTGTGGAAGCTCTTAAGTTGCATTAAATCCCAGTTGTCAATTTCTGCTTTTGTTGTAATTGCTTTTGGAGATTTCATCATGAAATCTTTGCCTGTACCTATGTCTTCAATGGTATTGCCTATATTTTCTTCTAGGGTTTTTATTTTAAAATTATACTTTAAGTTCTGGGGTACATGTGCAGAATGTACAGGTTTGTTATATAGGTATACACATGCCATGGTGGTTTGCTGCACCCATCAACCCGTCATCTATGTTAAGTATTTCTCCTAAAGCTCTCCCTCCCCTAGCCCTCCCTGTGTGTGATGTTCCCCTCCCTGTGTTCATGTGTTCTCATTGTTCAGCTCCCACTTATGAGTGAGAACATGTGGTGTTTGGTTTTCTGTTCCTGTGTTAGTTTGCTGAGAATGATGGCTTCCAGCTTCATCCATGTCCCTGCAAAGTACATGAACTTATCTTTTTTTTGTGGCTGCATAGTATTCCATGGCAATATGTGACACTTTTTCTTTATCCAGTCTATCATTGATGGGCATTTGGGTTGGTTCCAAGTCTTTGCTATTGTGAATAGTGCCCCAATAAACATACATATGTGTGTGTGTGTGTCTTTATAGGAGAATGATTTATAATCCTTTGGGTATATACCCAGTAATGAGATTACTGGGTCAAATGGTATTTCTATGACCAGTGATGATGAACTTTTTTTCATATGTTTGTTGGCTGCATAAATGTCTTCTTTTGAGAAGTCTCTGTTCACATCTTTCACCTATTTTTCATGGGTTGTTTGTTTTTTCCTTGTAAATTTGTTTAAGTTCCTTGTAGATTCTGGATATTAGCCCTTTGTCAGATGGATACATTGAAAAAATTAGGTAAGTTGCCTGTTCACTCTCCCATTGGGTAAGTTGCCTGTTCACTCTGATGATAGTTTCTTTTGCTATAGAGAAGCTCTTTAGTTTTATTAGACTCCATTTGTCAATTTTGGCTTTTGTTGCCATTGATTTTGGTGTTTTGTCATGAAGTCCTTGCCCATGCCTATGTCCTGAGTGGTATTGCCTAGGTTTTCTTCTGGGGTTTTTATGGTTTTAGGTCTTAAGTTTAAGTGTTTTATCCATCGTGAGTTAATTTTTATATAAGATGTATGGAAGGGGTCCAGTTTCAGTTTTCTGCATATGGCTAGCCAGTTTTCCCAACACTACTTATTAAATAGGGTATCCTTTTCCAATGCTTGTTTTTGTCAGGTTTGTCAAAGATCAGATGGTTGTAGATGTGTGGTATTATTTGTGAGGCCTCTGTTCTGTTCCATTGGTCTATGTATCTGTATTGGTACCAGTATCATGCTGTTTTGGTTACTGTAGCCTTGTAGTATAGTTTGAAGCCAGGTAGCGTGATGCCTCCAGCTTTCTTCATTTTGCTTAGGATTGTCTTGACTATGCGGGCCAAGACATAAATTTCATATGGAATTTAAAGTAGTTTTTCCCAATTCTGTGAAGAAGGTCAATTGTTGTTTTTTTTTTTTTAATTTATTTATTATTATTATACTTTAAGTTGTAGGGTACATGTGCATAACGTGCAGGTTTGTTACATATGTATACTTGTGCCATGTTGCTGTGCTGCACCCATCAACTCGTCATTTACATCAGGTATAACTCCCAATGCAATCCCTCCCCCCTCCCCCCTCCCCATGATAGGCCCCGGTGTGTGATGTTCCCCTTCCTGAGTCCGAGTGATCTCATTGTTCAGTTCCCACCTATGAGTGAGAACATGCGGTGTTTGGTTTTCTGTTCT